AGATTCTATTTCTGGATTGCAGCCTCCTGATTAAATCCAGTGCTCCTTTGCAAAATAAAATCTCTTTGGCTTTGAATCAATTTACCATGCAATGAATTAATGGAAAGTCAGTTTGATAATGGCATAATTTTGTAAATGCCCCAATGAATAGCAACATTGGTCAGTAACGAAGCGTTCAAACTACATCGTATTCGAATTGAAAACATTAAGGGGGGAGCTACCCACCGGATGTAGAGATATGAACCGTCTGGGCTGTGTGAAAGCTCACTGGTCGATGCAGCTGATATGGACAACATTTTATTGCGACTCGAACAGGCAGGCAGGCAACAAGGCATAGTGAAATTCATTGCGGATAAAGTTAGAGACAATTACGGCGTAACAAGAATTTTGACAAATAATATGACAATAATACAAATAGAATAGTCTACAAAAATTTGTGTGAACGTGTTCGAAATATATTTTCATTCCATTAACAGATAAAAACGGCAAATATTTTTTGCTCTACATATCAGATAAAAGAGACATGGTAGAGAATAATACAGACTTGATAAAAAGTCGAATTCATTGAATATTGTTAACAGATAACGGGATCAGTTTGCAAAACCGTTGCAAAACTAATCCATAAAAACAATATGTAAATCATTCCATACAACTTGTTAGCTAGACTTATATATTTCAAGAAAGTTACTTAAGGTCGTAGCGAATTCCCGTTATTTTATAAAGTGACGTTCTCTATTTTGATGATACTCGGTAGTATATTCAATAGCAAATACGTGGTTTAGTTTTTCTATATTACAGAGATAGTACATATACCTATAGTAAACTCTTAGTTTTCTGCATTTGAATATGCTGCTATCCAGTAAATGGCGCAATATACAATAGCCGTCACAAATATTGTGAAGTTTTATAAAGAATTCAGATGCCAATAACTTATATTGTTTTCTGAAATCTTGGAATCAATATGTCTGCATCGGTTGACTCTTGTTATTCATGTTAATTATAATTCTAGAGAATCTCGATAGTTTTCAACATCTAAATTATTTTCAGACACCCATAAATTATATAACCCATTAAAAAGTGAAACGTCATAACTTGTTTAATACTACCCTATCAGTTAGAGATTCATCATGTATATGAAAATTTGCCCTCAACTGTCATTTGATTGTGACATAGTTTATAATTTAGATAATATGTAGATAAATTATCTACAACCGGGTCGTCCAGCTAAATCGTGAACGTCAAGGTAGCAGGCACACCAACGAGTTTGAGGGTCTTATGTATGTCAATAAATTGTGAGTAAATAGTGAGCATATAATGAGAGACACTGTAAGTTAAGAGATATTAGAAGATCTTAATGTGCCTTCTCACTAGACATCGCTATGCTATTTAAATGCTATTTAGTATGAAGAAAATTATAGTGTCTAAATAGAAAAGATAGTTTTTGTTTTTATAACTTTAAGCGTTCAATATAATAATGGGTTCAGGATGCTGTTGGGGCATCCGCGATTCTGTAGTGCATCACGCATGTTTGCGGACGCCAGAGTTAATGATTTTTACGCAATCATTCGTAAGAGAGTTGCATCGTTGATGCGTAGAGTCCGTGGTGGCACTAACGGTCTCCTGAACGTGATTGCAGAACGCTGCGACGGTCCGATTTTGAAGCATTGGGTGATGGTACACATGACCCATTTATCTTTTAAGAAATAAGAGGTACCAGATATACTAACATAGTTTTTAAAGTTCTCGTTTACTAACAAATCTATGGACTTTGTCTTTGTTATTATTATTATTATAACAAATGAGAGCATTTTGGCACATCCCTCTGACTGTTTGACCAGGCAACCTTATATGTAGTTAACCTAAAAGGAAAGTAGACAATATATATATTTTTTATTATTTTGGACGAATTCTCTCGATTAATGGTTTATTTTCATGAATAACAGATGAGGGGAATTGATGAAAAAGTATGATGTACACAGAACATTATTTTACAGTGATGGCCCCCGATTTAGTTAGGCAATCCGGGTTCGAATTATTAATCTACATGTTACCAAACATATAAACTTTGACAATATCAAATAACAGACGAGATGAAGGGATATTTTTCTTTATCTTCAGACTTTAAGAGAAAAACTAAGCTTATCATGCTAGTCTACTAAAGTAAATTATTTATTTCATTATCCGTATTAAAATCATTCTCTGAGCACTTTTATCTAGTTATGGTGTATGCTTAATGCATATTGGTGTTTCATTTGTACTTAATCAGATGCATATATGTATGCATCTGATTCTGGAATTTGTCTAAACAGAATATGTATTTTTACATTGGCATGGGTATATATAATGTTCTAATTTGTAATTGATATTGTTTAACTGAATATTTTCATATTCTTCATAATGATTTAATCGGATGAGGCTTAGCATCTATTCCTTTATGCAAACATGGAGAAAATATGAAATTTTCTGTTCTCTTGACTTCATAATAGCCGCGAATTTTCTTCTTCTTCTTCTTTTTTAATTAATGGCTTATCTGCGCATTTCGCACAATTCTGCCAATGTCAAGTAAATAAAATAATTTTTACATGTTAAATGAAAATGAAATGAATGAAAGATGGTTCAAATCTGACAGTCTTTCTTGACTTCCAGATATTTTTGGCAGCGGACTGGGCAATATTTGAAAATTATAGTTTCATTACGTCTATCTTGCGCAATTTGTATTTATTTCGTTAACGTGCGTGTCCAAATACCATTTCCGAACGCGTTTGTGAACCCGAATGTGTTCAAAAAATAAATAAAAAGCGGTAAGTCACCGTGTCGCACTGTGTTTATTCGGTCGACCATTTTCTCACTTGTATCAGTAGTTCAATATACTGTGAGCGTACGTCCTCAAAGACCGCTCGCTCGCTCGCAGTGCGCTGCGAGGTCATGCGATCCCTTTCACCATTCTGCTAGCCCGGTACTGGCGGCGACCTTACTTCAAGCCTTGATGATACCGATTGTTCACCGTACGCCTACTCATGAGGCACTAGTAATAATAGCCGACGTCCGAAAGGATATAAAGTTTAAAGACATGCGACGTTCTAGAAATAAGTAACATTTCGTATAATAATGAAGAAATACCTAGTTTAAATCTTTAGTAAAATTCATTTTAGAAAATTTTCAGCCGGATGGAAAATGGTCAAGTACTACTTTAATAAAATTAATGTTTAGATTTATATATTAGGTAGGTATATAAAGACTTAGTTTCTTTGTTTATTTGTAGGAGGTAATCTTCGAAAATTCTTATACCGATCCGATACTAGCAGTTTTGTCACGACAAAACAGCTAGTTATAAAAAAATATTATAAAAGTAGGCAATGCTATTTTTGTAAAATATCATATGTAGGCACAGAAAGTCAAAGTCTTTTATTGAAAATATTAAATTTAATTAAAATGTGTAAGAGTAGTTTCTGCTGTTTGTAAATTCAACTTAGTTATAAAAATAAAAAGCTCAAAATAATGTTTGTATCTATTCAAAAATAGTCAAGAAATCGTCAAGTTGATTTCGGTAGAAAGTAATTGAGAAAAAAAAGTTTTATTTCACAAACAAAATGGCAACTCTGTCGCACATAACGGATCGCGAGCGGCTGCGGTACTAGGAGCTCATAGCCAATCAGGCAGTACCCGTTGATAAGGCGCGAACGATAAGCATGAACGTGCGCCGCAACTCGTCTAATTATGACGAAAGTGTTTGCCATGTTTTCGAATCGACACAGCGAGTTGTTTTTGCGTCCGAACCGCATAGCTGTGATAGGCAGTCAGTCATATTGGATATTATTATTAATGACATAAATTGTTGCTGTTACTTTGTTATACGTATGGTTTACGAATTTAGCAATAAATATACCTATTGCATTATTCAGCCGCTAATATTATTTATTACATTAGGCAGAAAATTTGGTATTTATAATATGATTAAACTCTTATAAGAAATAAAATACTTTTTTTAATGGTACATACGTAAGTAGGATATTAATGTACATACCTAGTTGTATGAGAAATAAACAATTTTCGTATCTTTAAGATATTTTTTAAACTTTACCACTCCTTTTATTATGTTGTTGAGTAGAATGTAGGTACTACACGTTGTTTAGTAAATACTACATAGCAAATAGCTAAGATGAGTTCATCACCAGGCGTAAGCAAGCATAGTACCTACTAACCAATGACTAAGCACGCTTGCAGTTACACAATCACGCCTTGTGCTAGTTTTTCTCGAGTTAAATACTCGAAAATCCATGTAACTACTTCCGAGATGTACTTGTGTAAAATTACTACAGAAGGCAAATTTATCGAACGAGGCGCAATGGCCCTGCCTTTGAATGCGTGTGCACAATGTCCCCTTCCGTCTCGCCGCAACATGCCCCCCCTCAGCCCGATCAGCTGACCGGACTCTCCGGCGCTCCTGCACTACACGCCACGGCCTCGTCATGCGTTAGTCCATACTTCAAAGTCGACACGTTTGTATAGATAGTTTACCTGTCCCACCACCCACTTGGGTGACACGTAAAATAGGTGTGTATGTTTTAAGAATGTAACGTTTTGTCTAATGCCGTGCGCCGCCCACGTATCCATATTTGACACGCAGATAAAACGTCCGTCTGTACATAGCCGAAAAGCTGTGTTCACTCCGTAACTGGAGAGCGTGAATCCTCAGATAATATGAATTACGTTCAGTGCCGGCGCGAACGATGAATTTCAGGCTTCCTTTGTTTACGTGGGGCGAGGCCGGCGCATGAGGGGAAGGGGGAGGGCGGCGCGGCTGCGTGCTGTTCAAGGTCAAGAGCGTCGGGCGTCGGCTCGCTGCACCGGCGCGCCAGCGACTGTGGCGCTCGCGAATCAGCGCACGCCCAGGGACCGGTTTCACTCGTGACGTGGTCGCCGAGAGCGGGTAAACACTGCTCGGTGCCTCGGACGGCAGTCCTTCCGTGGCATAAGTGATCATATAAGATGCCACTTACCGGCATGGAGGCGCCTCTCCTGCAACTCGATGAAGCGTGCCGCCTCTAGAAGCGTGTCCAGGAGGCTCATGACGGGAAGCGGCACAGCCGCGCGCAGTACGAGCGCGCCCGCTGTCACACCGCGACTGACCACGCGCGCGGTGCGCTCTCACGTGGCTGCCGCTACTACGGGCCAATAGGAAGAGAGCGCGCCAGTCACGTGACTATAGATGTCGGCCAATAGGAGAGCTAGTTGCGGCAACGTAGCACGGGGCGTGCGCGATCGATGCTATTGCAGCGACCAGCGATCGAATGCACGTGCCCCCGCCCGCACCTCTTTCGTCCGGTGACGCGGCAAGCGGCACGCTCTACGCTATGCTAACTTTACGTGCTCTCGAAAACGTTTAAAATGAATCTTAACTGTTAATATTTAAGCATGTTTTTATGTGCATACAGAAACCGGTTAAAAATGCAGCTTTGTTTATCTAATACTTTTCCGCTATAATATGTGTAATATTACTTGAACGATTAAACTCAACAACGTAGTCGGCTACAGCGACACTCGTGTTATGTCATTTGATTCAGAAGCGTTATCTAGCCACTTAGCCGAATTTTTAGAACTGCAGCTCGGCAGAACGTCTAGCGTTCGGCACCATTCGGCACGTGCTATTGCTCTATGCTATACTTTCACTTCCTACTTTGACTATAAAATAAAAAGTTGTCTGATAGGGATTGAATTTTACAAAAACACTGAATAAAGATCAAGTAAATAGTGCCATTACCTACATGATATCATACCTACATAATAGTGTAATAATGTAGTACAGTCAACAGCACGTCAGGTTATACAAATGTGGAAAATTTCTTTACTTGATTTTAAATCTTACTGCGTTTACGATAGACTTGAAATGAATTTGACACATTGGGGTAACTTGACGTGCTGTATAGGTAAAATGATAATAATTAAACTAATAAACCCGTTGGATTTAATATAAATTAAAATAAATATTAAACAAGCATCACCTACATGGCTCAGATTCCAAGATGAGTAACTAAAGCCCCCGTATTATGAAGTATCGGAGACAACGAAGGTACCATAACACCCAGACCTGAGACACTATAGAAATTTTCATTTTCTACATTGACTCCATCGGGAATCGAACCCGGGACCTCAGAGATGGCGACACCTTGAAACTGGCGTGCGAACCTCTCGACTACGGGAGTCGTAACAAGAAATGAAGTAAAAAGAAAAAGAATGTTAGTGCCTACTTATCCCGTCGGTATTATAACGACCATAACAACAAATTAATAATAGGTACCATAAAAATGTATGACGTTTCGGACCCTTTACAGGTTCCGTATTCCATTTAATGCTCCAAAAATATATTTATATAAGTGACCTTCATATAGGTAGGTGTCTAGTCTAACTTTCAGTCCCGGATTTTTGACAAGGCCATATTTTGCTATCGCAAGTCAGGCATCTAGAGAATTAGCTACCGACATGTAACTTAGAAAATTGTCAGCAGCCAATAATAATTAAAATAACGGTCTGTATAATCTACATAATTAATAACGAATTGTCAATACAATCATAGAAATAATGTTGCGTTGCGTGGCATTGCCTATATATATAGCAACGATTTCCCCTACTGTTCACAACCAAAAGCGTAATATGTCAAATTTCTGCAAGTAATTTAAAACTCTACTGCCAAGGTGATAAAGTGAAAAATTAAATGAAGTAATTTGAAGACATAATACTTGTATTTGACAATGATCATTATCGATATGAGTACTCGATACTTTGATTTTTAACCAAAGAGCACTTTTGAGTGTCACATTGGAAATTAATAAATTATACTTTATGCCTATAAAATTATTTAACGAGCTCTCATGTCTCTACAACTAGCGTACACGGAAAAATTATTCTGGTATGTGTAACCATATTCTGGTTACCATTACAATATTTATTGCTCTATATGTGACGACCACTCGTATTGTAAGCGTTACACAATGATTCTAGTTAAACATGAATTGTATTTGTCACATTGTTATTGTTAATTTTACTATTTAATTTTTCAGGTCTACAATCCTTTTTTGTCCTAACAACAAGAAAGTTTGTGTTGTTAATCAAAAGTTTTGTAAATAACATATAAACGTTTAATTAAATTTACCGAATGTCATCGTTTTATTTACTACAAAAAAATTACTAATACGATTTGTTGTGTACCTCTGACAAATGAGAATTATAAATGGAACAGAATGATACGTTCACATTACAAAATGACTTGTAATGACAACAATAGAGTATTGTGTAGGTAACTTCTTATTTTGTAAATGGACCAATAAGTAGTTGGTTTATTCCACCGGAACTGTCGGTAAAGACGTGACTGCTTAAAATGTGCTTTTATTTCTCAAGATTCATTAAGTTTTCCGCGAAATAAAAGCTCTGAACTTTAAGCAATCACGTCGATACACGACAGTTCCCGCAGAAAATGCCAATAAAAGAAAAACAAACAATAATAAGAATCAACACTTTTATTAATTAAAACGTGGAATCAATTAGAAGTAGTTGATACCCTGTCGGCTTTTTTAAAACAGGGTACTCATTCATGTAGTCAGATACTGCTATATTTTTAGTCTCTTCAAGTCTAATCTTGGATGTATTTTTCCTTTTCTCTTCAACTGTTTTCCAAGGCTTGCTGGATTTTCTAAGCCACTCAAGGACTTTATGAATATTTTCTGAAAATATAATATGATTCATGAACTTGGCACCGACAGATTAATGCCTAATGTTCCTGAAGTGGGAAAGTGGTAGCAAATCTATACATATAATAAAATTGTAGGAAAGTCAAAACTGTACATAGAATATTTTGTAAAAAGAATACTTGAGGTGTGATCTACAATCGATATCGAAGCCAAAAATATAGTTTTTAGAATTTTTGTCTGTCTGTTTGTATGTCCGGGCTAAACTCAAAAAGAACTGCACTGCATGGAATTACTTAAAATTTTGCATGAATATTACTATGAGGTTGGGTCAACACATAGCCTACGGAAGCCACGCGGACGAAGTTGCGGGCAAAGGCCCTATATATAATTAAAAGTATGTAAATCAAATTCTTACTAGTGATTGATTGGATTGATTGTCGTTCTTAGAATCCATCAAGGTCTTCCAATTGTTTAAATTTTTAATAAAATTTACTCTATGTCCAACTGGTGGTATGAGCTCCTTAATAATATGCGAGTCCAACAGCATTAAGCAGTCCATCGTAATGTGGTTTTCTGAAATTGAATATACATAATAATAAAATATATATAGATCAGTCAGCCCGGTACCTAATATCTAAAAAAGAGGCAAGGATTTACTTTTATATCCCAGTCCCACCTACATCTCACAACATAATATTTTGTATATCTACAAAGTTATGTACTCATACGCAGCTCTGGGAGAAAAAGATAAACAGCTGGCATCATTCCCGTGCAAGATCCAAAATCAGAGTATCAGACTGAAGGGAAAGGACATTTTAAAGTACTCTATTGAGGCGACGGGCTGATGAGCACTTGTCATATCACTACTCAGTAACACAATGAAAACATCTAGCCCCCTCATCAGACGTGGCTGCTTGTGTGAATTACACCGTAGGGCTCTGCTTGCCCCGATATATGGGCGTGATTATAAGTACCTATGTATGTAATCTAAAAAGTCAGGTGTATATCATTTCTAATGAGTACATATGAAATAAATGAAACTTACCAGAGAACACATCCACATAACCGCTGAGAACCCAAGCAATAAGTAAGTTTCTGACATCTTCGTCCATTTCAATTTTAAAACAATAAAACACGATTAGGAAGCGTAATGGCGGCGATCGGCGGGCGATTATCCCATAGAATAATAGTAATCCTATCACTGTCACTTCACTGTGCGCGCGACTAAAAGAAAGAAAAATGATGCAATAAGTTCACTGCCCCTCACCCCGCGCATCTCGATCGCCGCCAAGCCGCGCGAAGTTTTGCAAATGCAACATCACTGATTGTTCTCTATACTAATTGTATTGTAATTACAAACGTATTTTCAGTACTCATCATAACTCGTGTTGTAGATTTTTAAAATACAATTTTTCTTGTAATGTTTAATATACTTTCAGAGCTGATTACAATTTCAGAAATAACAGAACTGTAATTGTATTGCTTACAAAATGTCAACTTATGTTAACAATATTTCTGTTTCTGTGTACAAAATTATAGTTATCTTTACAGTATTTCTCTTAACCTAGACGTTTTGTAGTATTGTAAACTAAAAAGTTTTTCCGTGTACTTCTTTCTTCCGCTGTAAGAGGGCATCGTTCTATAAGATAAACAATAATATCTTTATAACATTATACGATGTATAAAGATTCCCTTTCTCGGATCTACGGACTAATTTTGATTCTTATTTGTATTTAGACCGTGCTATGAACAAAGGGACAGAATAACTCGTCATGTTACTGGTTATTATTTTTTGAAGGATTTCCTTAGAAATAAAGGAAATGTTCGTACAATACGCGTACAAAAAACAAATTACCGTACGATTGGGAACACTGAATTACTCCCCATCCCACTGAAGTATTACAAATAGGGTACAAATACACATAAATTATACTTAGGGCAATATCACACTTTCTGTGGTGAAGATCAATGGCGATTTGCAAGGTATTTTCTCTATGTTTGCAAGCCATGCAGATAAGCGAGTGAAACTCTCGTAGACAGATAATGATTCCCTTATTGAAAACAGTGTTGCCTTATGCCAATTGGATAAATAAATCTGTGTGAGAATAAATGAATACATTAGATGTCGTCTCGTCCATGTTTTGTACGTTTTATAAAAACGATTCAGTATCAAGATTTTTTGATTAATTCCAGAAGGTTTAATCCAATATTTCAAGACTTTCTTGTCGAATTATGTCAGGAGACGCCGATAGATGGTTAGATACGAATATCTATCTGACTCTTTTCACTCATGCTAGCTGGTTTTTATGACTCTTAAATCACCTTGTAAAGATACGCGAACGATATGATAGCAGGTGTGTTTTTTCCACCCACAGCTCATATATCAGTTTTGTCATTCTTTTATTTGGCATTTCTTACAAGCCACATGGCACTTTCTTTCTGGTCAAATCTCTTTCTTATCTTTTCATTACGAATGCAATCTGCGCAAATTCAACGTTCGAGATGAGCTTGACTGCATTTATTCTACTACTGCAATTCTTTTAAAATAAAAAAAAAATCACTATAAAGCACCGGAGTTAGGACCTGATACTGTTTCTGATGCATAAATTATCTTCACAGATGTGATTTTAGCAAAATTATAAGAACTATTTGAAAATTTCCAAAATCTGGTGCGTGTAAAATAACCAAAACATCGATGATAATAAACCCTCAATAAATTATATCGATAAACTTTTAAAATATCGATTCAATATGTTTTCATTACCTCATCTCTAGTTTACCAAAGGAGTTTGTTATTGTTTGTGTTTGTTCTTTGATGCGACTAACCCTCTTTGAAAGCTTTCAGTGAGAAAAGCAATGAGAAAGTATTTAAAAAAATAAAGAAACTACAAAAAATTATGTCACTAGATGGCAGCACTAATAGAGTTACGTGCAACCAATAAGTTGGCTCATCACTAATGTTGACATATAAACTAAACCTTTACATGTAACATATAGCCTGATACAAATAGCAACTTTCAGTATGGAGATCAAACATTAAAACATAACAGCTGTTTTTTTATTATTATGAGGGTATCATATATTTCTTTTTTAATATATGAATTAATCCAACGATATTTTCTTTCGGATTATTAGTAAAAAAAATAAAATTCCTTTAATTTCTCAATGGCATGATAAGCAAAATACATATAAAGTGACTTCTACGTATTTTCACATTGTAACTTATGTTACTTCCATAAAATACATAAATCTTCCTAATATTATATTTGGAAACTCATATTTTTATATAACACGGACAATAAATATTTAAAAAATATTTGTAAAGAAATCAATAATATTAACAATGAAATACGACTTCAATCGATATTACTATATTGCATTAAGTATATTTTGTTTTGAATCCAATGAAAAATTTCCATGGGAATATTGCATACCAATATTCCCGTGCATACCAATATTCCCGTGGAATATTGGTATATAACACGCAATATACGCAGCAGACTTTTGAGTGAAACACATATTCTACTAAATATCATTAAAATCCACTCATAAATATTTAAATAAAAGTTTTATTATATTAAAATACAACAAAAAAAAATTAAGTAAAAAATTAAGGTTAAAAAAAATCACTATTTCCTGTAATTTTTTTAGTTGGATTTCAGTAAATTTCATTGTCGCTATGATAAATAAAACCAACATTTGTGAAAAAAATCGTGTTAGTAATTTTGCATGAATAAATGAAGGTTTTTTGACCTGATGTTTTTTTTATACCTTCCGTAGCTAAAATGAGATGGATTCTTAAATATAGAGTCTTGTAATTGGCTCACAAACACGATTAAAAATATTCCAGGCTTATATCGAATTATTTCCGTTTTTCTCGTATTTGTATCAGGCTAATAATAAATAACTTAAACTGACGATTCAAATAAATTAAAATTAATTTGAAAGTGCGATATTGTAATAAACACGAAACGATGTCATATTTATTAATTTTCGATACTCAATTTACTTTTATTACATTAGAAACAAAATTTGAATGAATATCAAAGACAAGATACAAAAACATCGCTAGTGACATCTAGTTTGATTTAAAGAACTAATTTTATTTTTTTTTTTTAATTTCCTCATTACCATCCACATCATACAAAGGTACGCGAATGAGGAAGTATTTAAAAAAAACGCTAAAAAGCACCTCCACTAGATGGCGACTCAAGCAAAAGTTGATTTTTGCAGGAAACGAATGGACCAAACAGTAATTTCCGTTCCTTTTAATTAACATATTAAAAAACTGAATTTGAAAAGTTCGAAACTTAGATATCAATACAAATACGAAAAGGTACAAATAGAATATGAGTTGTTTATTGAGTTTTGAAAACTAATTTACTTTGAAGCATGAAAGAAAACCGGAAGGGTTGTCATGGAGAAATCAAGAACGTACCGTAGCGACATCTAGTTTCGGGAACTAATATATATATTTTTTAAATACTAGTGATTAATATTTAAATGAAAACTAGTAACTAGACCCGGCTTCGTAGATACATACATTATATTATATTAAAAGGGCGCGCACATAAATAAATATATATTTTTCAATTGGTTTAGTACCAAGAAATAACGTTCAAATTAGCCGTACAATTAAACATAAAATACTTTTAAGAGTTTTGTAACAGTCAAATGGTGCATTTATAAAATTTTCTTGAAAGAAAACTTACATCACATAATTAGCTCAAAAATTCGTAAATTCGTAGCTTTATAATTCCATTCGAATAACATCAAACACTTGAAATAGTCATTTTTTTTCCTATAAGGAGTTTAAATAAAGACACAATCACTAGTGGTTTAAAATTGTTTAATTCTGAGTTTAGTGTATACATAGTGTTCAGGGGCTGCATGTCTTTGATATCCAGGGTCGCTGATAGTCGTGCCTTCTAAGCTAATAACATACAGTTAAAAAAAAACCCTGTGTCGGTCTTTTACTAGCAACTATTATGGCGGACTACAAAGGTTGTTCACCTTACATTAAATACTACATTATAGATTTTAACATTTATCATTAATGTTGCATACTGGCCGAGTGGTAGTTTCATACAGAAATCTAAGACATTATTTGTAGTGAAGTGACAAAAACTATTCAATTGCTTTATAATATAAAACTGTATGCTATAAATTGCAAAAACTAGTACAAAAATAGAGGTAAGTCAAAATTTTGGTAATTTGATGTAAACTTCAGTTAACAATGTTTAAATTTCAAATGATGATCTTCTATCGAACTTCAGGTAGGACGTAGGTATAAACCCAATATACCTACGTCCAACCTGAAGTTTGATAGAATCATATATATATATATATATAATGTTCGACCATAATCGGTAAATACAAAATAATGGAGTAAAGTTACATAGAAGTAAACCGCATAAAGAAGTTCAAAAAGAGTCTTCGATTTGGAAACTTCAGAGAATTTATAGAGCATAATTGTTATTAAAAGGTGACATTTTCTAACTGTGATTTTATTTATAACTTAACATCGTTACCTATAAAATCGTAAAAAAATCTGCAAATTAAAATGTCAGCAATAATGTAAGCTGATTGTTGTTATGCTGATAGTAATAAAAATACTAATTTACTTTTCGTAGTCTGTCAAAATCGTCACATTATAAATTACATAAAAAACAATAAACATAACATAAAAATATTTATTTATTATTTACGTCACAGTTTTACTAAACATGTTCCCAGCGTGAATAATATTTGGAAAACATTATTGCTCTTAGAAATTATCAATACAAATATTACGGTAATATTTCATATTCACACAACACAATAAAACATTTAAGTGAAGTGCCGAGTTGCTGTGTTAATTCGAATACAGGATTCGAACATTTTACAGTAAGATACGACTAATGGCGCTGAAGGCTAAGATTAATTTTCGAAACGCAAAAATGCCGGCCAATCACAATGATTCAAGTGTGTAAGAAGAAGCACGCGCCTTTTATATATAGTACTGCATACTCTGCTTTCCCAGCATGAACCGCCATCTGCTCCCGAAGAGACTAGCCAAAATACAGATACATACCTACTTAAACCCATATATATTCTTCTCTGTGGTAGGCGATGCGCGAAAAAAACCCAAAGGATCTCTTTTTGCACCTCCATTTCGGTATCCTTGCACGTTGATGCATATATTTGGAGATTTACGTGGACCGCTCAAGCTCAAATTGACCCCCTCCCACGATGTCAAAACGGTCTTCTCTTTATGTCTTAACCTTATGGTTATTGAATCAAAACATATAAACTTTAATCGTACGTTCGGTCACTATCGGAATTGGTAGATCTACTTTGCGCAAATGAAGATTCACCAATCGCCATATATAGTTGGATCCGACTAAAGTGATTGAAATATAAAATATATGGTGGTAGTTTTGATTTCCTTTATTTGGATTAATATCTTCGTGACGCTTAGCTAATTCAACCTCATACCACTGGCATCGAATTAGAATTTAAAGTTCTTAACGATTAATAATGTCTAAATTACCGCTAAGGATTATTATCAAGAATTGATTTCGCATTACGTATAAACTTCGACTGGTTGCGCGTACGACCAATTAAAAAAGATTCAATCAAACGTCAAAACAAACCTGAAGTTTATATCAAGGAATTTATGCGATAGACCTTAGTATTGACACAATTCTTTTTTCACAAGTAACAGAAGAGGTATTCGAATAACAAAAACAGTCACTTGGCACTTCATCACATCACTATTTTCAACGTTACACTAACGAAGTGGTTGTCAGCTATGAACTTAATGTGGTAGGTAAATAATTTTGAATTCCATTGATATTTTTAAATACTTAAAAAATAAAAAGGGGAATTATTCGAAACGGAATGTCGGTTAAATTTTTTTCATAACATTATTATTATTGATCTTGGAAGTATTTTTTTTTTTATTTATCAACCTGAGTGATCAAAATAAAAATATTACTTATTAATTGAACCATCTCCTAAACTATTTTTTTTTGTAAATTCATGTATAATATAATATTAAAAGTTTACATCAGTTATTTTAGTTACCTATATACTTGAAAAATCTGTTTGTCAGGATTGAAACTAAAAGCAATACAATTGCTACCATTAGCCCTATTTATACCAGAGTAAGTAAAATTTGGTGTGTATAGCTGATAATCGATTCGTTAGTATTACGTTAAATAAAGACAACCTCTAAATATAATATACTTTTCACTCGAATTTCCCTACGTTAATGTTGTTTGAAAATATCTGTTCCGTATCCACGGAAATTTCAAAGATATATTTGAAAACTTTATTTTTATCTAATTTTAATAATTTAAGATGTCAAATATGTACATTTCATAAAAACCTACTCAAATGTATTTTCGAAGGAGATTTATTGCACCGAAATATATTATTGATAGAAGGCACCGTCAATATAATTAGTAATAAACACTTTTTCAAAGTAATTAGTACAAAAATAAAGACTCCTATGTCACTACACGATAAGCTGGCCAGAAGGTACTGAAAATTCAAATTTTACTCACCAAGCTCCTGATAATTTGCCCATATATAGTAGTAGATGAGGCGTCGCGTACCCTAGAGGAGCTCACTTTTTCAACAATTCTTATCCCCCAAATTCAAGAGTGGGGTGGGTAAAACAGAGCTATGGGCTGTAAATTTTAAGCGTCAACTGTGGCGAAAGTTATAAATCGTACTATATTTTTCTTTATTTCTTTTATTTCCGAAAAAAAATCTAGAAACACTTTTGAAATATTAACGGATTTTTATTGCAATTTGTATTTTTGACAGTTTATCTAGTAATGCACATAGAATTCTTTGGAGAAAATGAGGTACTTGCATAATTTAATTTTAAGTCACGACACTGGGATAAAGGTTCGTTTACATCTATAAACATTGATCGCGCTCATTCACAGACAGATACCGCTTTATTTACACTGTGTGGCATATAGCCACAGATAACGTATAGACATGAACCGCACAGATAAACCGGACACAGTCCGTACCTGTTGGCGTTTGTGCGTGTATTAAAGTTAACATCGATGCATGAACAATAATATAATATCTATCAAAATTAAGGGATTTATTTTTATTTCTAAACGATTATTAGAAAAATGATTATATTTAAATTAGGCGACTAGTTAACCCAATTTACGCAATTGAATAATCTATTATTCAAAATCGATTTTAATTTAAAATATCACATCTCTAAACATACACATTTATATCATGACTGGCGCACCAAGAATTCTGGCGTTTCATGGGGAATTAATTGTTACTAAATTTCATAATTTATTTTTGTTTCTGAATTTTAGTTGCGCCGTAATTAGAGCGTTAAATATTTATTATTACAGCATTAAATATTCATATTATTTAAAGTTCCTTTACTTTTGTTCCAACCCTAAGAAAATCCCACAAACTCGTTAATAGACACTGTTTAAAAGATTGTTACTCGTGTTTTATCTGTGCCGGCACATGTTGCACTCAATGTCTGTAGATATAAACTAACATTAAAACGTGAATTTATATAATTTATCCAGGTAAAAACTATTTCATTAATACTTAAACACTCTGTATTAAATTTCTTCTTGTAATAAAAAAAAAAAACAAATATCATTACAGGGAAACCAAGAAATTACATACGTACAGTAATAATTTTTCTGATAATAAAATAGTTTCCAAGTAAATCTTCTAAAAAAGTTTTAGTACTTCTTATACTGCCTAATATGCCATTATCTGTCTCCGTCTATTTTTTCATTAACAAGCATGAGGTGGAAACACATTATAGACATTTGCTAAGCAGTTTCGCCTCTGCATCAATGAGAATATTGTCTATAATTAAACTACACTGGTTCCAGTTAATTCATTTTGGAATATACTATCAATTATTTTTAGGTTTAAAGTAGACATTTGCTGCAATAGCACGTATGACCAATATCGTAGTTCCTAAAGGAAGCCTCATAATGTACTTTTTATCTAAAATCAGTGATCGGATCAGGTAAATTGGATTGGGGCAGATGATCTGAAATCTATACATTAATATATCAAATTCCTTCAACATTTGATCATAATAAAATATGTTGAATAGCAGTTAGAGTTAATATTTTTTTCGGAAAAATGGTCTTATCCATGTTATTCTTTCTATAAACATTTATTATACAAGCACAAAAATCAATCTATCTAATCTGATCACTGGTAAACAGTTTAAATGACAAATTGTTCCAGACAAAGATTATTTCTTAAAAAATATTATGTGGTTAATAATTACTAAATTCTAAAACAAACCGATTCTATGAACGCATTTACTTAATCGAAATATTAAACTATTGACTTTTAATAAATTCACTCCATACACAAACAACACACCGATATTTCATAATTTCATTATTATACAATAAAATAATGTTAAGGACTTCCTCAGAAATAGACTAAGAAGGTAATAAAATGAATAAAAAAAACATACTTATTCTTCCATATTGTTGACCTTAGTGTGCTGAGAAAGAATTACATTTCTTTTAACTAAAAGTTCACTAAGCAATTGTTTCCTATTAAATAACATCGAACACGAAATATCTACTGCCATTTCGTCGATGTCACGAGTTTCAATACTAAAAATATAGATATTTACGTTATTAAAACGTAGTGACACATCGCCGCTATATCATAGCGGTCGTACATTATTTATGTTTCTAATACGTCGTAATAAAATTGAACTATTACTTCTAATAAATTACTACGTCTAACCTATGTGCTTCACGTGGAAGGGCGTTTTGAGTTAACTCGGGAACGCTCAGCGACATCTCTTCGGGATTCTGCTAACCTGGTCATGCATATATTTTTACAATAAGTTTAGTGTTTTTATAGATTACGTAATATTATGTTTTATTCAATGATCTTGGTTTACATAAAAATGAGTAGTGTGATCGCACAGATCGCACGCATTATATGAGATGAAAATGCGATGCATACCGATGGCGATATACGAATTACTTTCATGACATCCTCATTTTTGAAGTTATTAAATATGATATGAGGAGATTTTCAAAAAAGGTGAGATTCTCAGAAGAAACTATGGCCACTCACCAACTACCAGGGGTGCAGAAACGGTAAGGAATAAGCCCATAAGCTGCGAGAATGCGACTATCGACTCAGGTTGCTGACGTAGAGACTCTTCAGCTCGGTCTTGGGCGTGTTCTCGAAGAGTGCGGCACGATTCTGTCCCTCTCCCTTTTTCACCCAGTGGCCGTACACGCGGAACGCGCATCCGTCTATAACCTATAATAAATAAGATAAATTATATTGATGATATATTTATTTATAGTATAAATTAAAGATATCAAAGACTGCTGATAGCTGATCAATTCGAACTGAAAAGTACGCAAATGAATAAATCATTCACATTTCAAATTTTATTATTATTATTATTATTATTATTACAATGGCCTTACAAATATCGTAAGTACACCTTATAGTTAGTAAATATTAAACTTTATTTCAAATTTAAGTGTCTTACCTGATGATAACTAAAGAAAAAGTCCGATAATAGTGTGGTATATAAATAAATATAAGTTGACCTTCCGGAGCAGCCTCATGGTGTAGGGGTCCTTGAGCGCGTCGTGCAGCGGCAGCGCGGAGGTGGCGGCGTGCGGCAGGCGCGCCAGCCTCACCGCCGCCAGCACGCTCACTACGTACACGCGGAACTTGCCGCGCGCGTTGAACCCGCCGCGCTTCAACGCCTGACACACACAAACAATGAGTCACAATTATGTGCAACACTTCAGTATAAGCAAATCGATACCCAGTGCTTGCAAATCCTGTTATATGATAAATATCGCCAATTAAAAACATCACTATATATCGATTGCATTACGGGAATCACTATTTGTCAGTGAGCTGTAGATGTCATTTTGACATCGACGTTAAATTAAATGAGATTCATGGATTGTTTTTAATATTAGAGTATTAAACCAACAAGTACCCGTAAGCGTAACCCTCTGTTAAAAGCATGTGCTCGATGGGCATGCTCGTTATATAAAACTTCTTCCCCACCTTACGCGCCATTCATTCCAAATATTATATTGCAAAAAAACGTACTGTGGGGTAATTTATAAAATCGAGTGAAATATCAGTTGTTTTTTTTTAACTATGATGAATTTTCAATCAGTAGAAGATAACTGTGTATTAATGTATGTGTTATGTGACGTAACACAGAGAGCACTAAAAATAGTAGAACAATGATGCTCCGAGTACGGACTGAAGGTGAATCCGTCTTAAACTGAACTAGTCATGTTCACCAATAAAAAGAGTCTGGGAGACCAACGAGTGCCTCGGCTCTTGGGTGAGGCATTGAGTCTTCTCGGAGAGGTAAGGTACTTGGGGGTCACTCTAGATTCTAAATTAAATTATGGAGCACATATTATAAAGTTATGAGTGCAGTGCCGGAGAATGCTAGGTTAGAACTAGGGTATAACTCCATGGCTATACACGACTGTAATAAGGCCTATCATTAGCTACGCAACGATAGTAAGGTGGACCAAAACTACACGCGCAACAACAAGGGACAAACTTTAAAGATTTCAAGGACGAGTCTATTGTGCGATATCTGGTAGTATGAGGACCTTTCCTACGGCGGGACTAGAGACAATTCTGAACGTAAAAGGGTACAAATTAACCACATATGGGCATATTAAAAGACATCGATGTTGAGTACCCGTTCTTCACGGCAATAAGTCGCATAATTTCCAAACGGTACATTCTCGACAAAAAATACATAATACAGCTCCATGAGGATGCCCTAGATAAAAGTCTACATAAAGAGCTAAGGGTCTTTACCGATGGCTCCAAAACCAAAACAGGAACGGGAGCATTATCTGAGGAGCTAAATATAAATGTTACTGGGGACCCACAACACAGTCTTCCCAGCAGAGGGCGTGAGTAGTATCAGGGCTGCCGAAGCTATACTGAGTCGCGCTGTCAAAGGTAAAAGTACCCGCATACTCTCGGACAGCGAGTCAGTTCTCCAGACGCTTAACGACAACATAATGATATTTAATGGCAATAGAATTAATTGCAATGTAAAGGAAACGATAAAATCCATTAAAATAGATGACCCATTCATTGCCCGGCGCAAAATTCACGAAATACTTCCAAAATATAGTTTTATTAATTAAGTACTTCTTTGTAGATCAGAACGTTTCTTAAGAAGATTTTCGCGTTTTGTTTTTGCACTATCATCAGACGTTTTGGTATCTTGATAATTATTAGCAGCATTTAATATTTTAATTAGGTTCCCCGACATTCAAATTCACCATTTTGTAGAAATAAAATCTATTAATTATATATTATTTATTTGTCATATTGCTATCCATGTACGGTTTTGAAAATAATGGGGTCTGATTTCGCCATTCTTTTTTGGCGTGTGCGTTCATAGCGATATGCTACGAAAATGCACTAGTGTTAGCATTTTAATTAGTGTGCATTACCTCGCTCCCTTCTTAGATGGCAGACTATTTTGTGTTGAATAAATGCCGATTGCTACTTTTGTTGGTTTAATACTCTAAGTTTTTTTACTAATTAAATCGTTACATAATAATATGAAACAAATCAATTAACAAGAAAATATCTTCATCAGTTGTATTGAAGGCATATTCCGTCGCTTCGAACACGTGGTAAGAATGACATCTACATAAAATACACCTGTCACGACCAAATTGGTCGCGGGCTACTGGCAGTTGATATAAGAGTTGTAAAAAGCGGTGGAAGTGTAAAGAGTAATGAACATCTATCGTATCTACGATCAGCAGACTCACAAATTAACGATTACATTTTATAAAACTCATTTGATTGGTTAAGCATTCTTTCTACTACAGATACTCAAGTAACACTACAGTACAAAGAGATATGTCTGAGGATATCTTTTATTTATATGCCCTTTATAATCCCTCAATAGACCTTTACAGGGTAACATAAAAGTTACTTACGCTTCTAAACTACATATACACTCACAGAAATAAAGTTTTATGGTGTAGTAAAACTGGTTAATAAATATACAATATAAAAATAAAAAAAACTTTACCACACGACGTAAAACACAAACAGCCATTAGAAGCCCAGCATGTTAGTAATGACGAAAAAAATACACACACAATCATAAGTAATAATAAAGTGAATAACTTAACTAAAAAGCAGTAAGGTAATGTCACCTAAGAAGTTCTACTATCATCGAAAGTTCAAGCGTTTAAGAGTTAAAAGAAAACAACTACAGCAGGTACAGGTTGTCCGACTATTAGAAATAAGTAATTGTACCATTTATCGTTTTGTTCGATTTCAGGAAGCGGTTCTGTTAGCGCCCTGATTTTCAAAATGTGGTACTTTATAGGTGACATTACCTTATAACTCGTATAATTACTTTAACATGCGTAAAGTATAGTTGTTGTTATTTTGAGCTTTGCAAAAAAAATATTTAATTTAATGTTATTTGTAAAATGTATTGTTATATAACAGTTATAGGAAAAATGCATTTGTTATCAGTTCGTAGTATAGCAAGTATTAAATTAGTAAGACTTTTTTTATCAAAAGATAATTAAGCGATAGAATCACAGTGCATTTTGTCATGTTAATGTAAAACGTAAAGTGTAAATAAGTATTCCAAAATAATAGTGTGATTTGAAAGTTCGTCCTTCAAGCTGGATATCGTAATGTAAAATTTTGCGTAGTATTTGTGTATTAATTGTAACAGAACTTATGGACACCATATTTAATTATTTATCACAATGAACTTTTGTATAAAGGGTTATTTGTAAAACATACATAATAGCAAAGTTTGATCTAAAAATCTTTGGATATTTTTTTACAATAGGGAATATTACGCAATGCTCGGCGTAGATGGCAGCACTAGCACATACAGTAAGTACAAATGTGATTAAATTTTACGAACTTTTTGTATTTTGGAAATAAATATGCAACCAGCCATTATCTGTTATTGGATGAAATTATATTCTATCTTAATTTATTAAAGTATTTAATTCCTACTATGCTCGCTATTACTTTACTCTTTGAACGATATTTGACGTTAAAAAAGACTACATGTGATAGTGCTGTAGTTTGGCGACAGAAAGTTGCAGTGACGCGTTCTATTATTTTCGTTTAAACAAAGTATTATGTTATGTTGAAACTAGCAGATCATACGTTGTTATTTATGATGTTAGGTCTCCTGTAAGATTGCCATTTCACAAATAACCCTGTATCATATGAACCTATAAAGCACGTGAGATATACATGAATAGGTACTATAGGTTATAGCACACATAAACAACACGTCTCCAACCCGGCGATTTACTTGCTATTTAAATATGAGCATTAAATCGTATGTTATTAAATATATTTCGTAACATCAATATAAAATAGTCAATGGCAGCTGTCAACTTCAAGTTTTATATATTGACGTTATGAAATGTATTATATGATATAGGATTTAATTGTCAAATTTCAATGATGAGTTCATTGCTGGATTAGGGCCGTGCCATTTAGGTATGTTATGAACTTATGACCCTAAAAAAGCTGATGGTTAAACAGAAATGGCAATGTACACAGAAAACTCACCAGGTTACTTATAAAATGACAAATTATCCGCAATCGATATCGAACGTTACTCAAAAAATTGTAACGTGTATGAAAGATAAGGATTAAAAAATCAATTGCACTAATTTGGCATTTTCTGTATAAACCTGACTTTGTTACTGGGCCAAAATCTGCATAAATACAAACATTAACCGGTGTAAACCCAACCATGTTATTCCTTATGTACAATCATACACATATTACCATAGACAACTGGTCGATCCTAGACATCCTTCGACTGCTACTCGAGAGGGATTTCTTGAGCGGCGTCATGTCCTGGTCCCACAACTACCAGGAGCGTAGAATCAATTGTAATGTTGTATATAATGTATGTTACGATTCAATTAAACCTCTTCCTCAGTTATAATAGCTTGGTAATCAATTTAATAGAAGACAATTTTTACGTCCACACAAACAAGCTCATCATGAAAATTCTATTATTTTAATAATTACAATTGTAATGAATTAATAAATAGAGAATATGCGTCTGATTCAAAAAAGGGTTAAATATAATTAATTACGATCATTATTGCTTTAGAATAAAGTCGATGTTAATATTTTTCAACATTAGTTCGTTTTCGTCTTGAAAATAAATTATTAAAAAGGGCAAAAACATTAGGTAACTTCAAAATATTCAAACGCCACTACTTGACAGAGCGGATGTGACTAAAATGTACACGTATAGGTATGTCGTTGTTACAAAAAGTACAAAAAAGTCGATGCAATGTCGCAAAATAAGCAACAGAAAAAAAAGTAAATTATAATTTAAAAAATCGATTAGTTGTTAATCAATTTCGGTAAGTAATACCGGCGTTTAAACTGCTCGTAGTTGCAAATTATTTTCATCAATTATTATTATTACTAAATTTCAGTTTTTCGGTGCCGGGTATTTTTTACATAACAAAAAAAAATTCAAAGAATGTGCATATCCGATCCATTTATATATTTAATGATGAATACTTTTACAAAATACTTTATTTTAATTCGATCGATATCCATCAACAATAAAATGTTAATTTATATTGATAAAATCCGGTCATCGACCTCCGTGTACAGTAGGTATGTCAATAGTAGCATTTTTGACATATAAGAATTCACGAACAATATATTGTTTATAATATCTATATAAAAATAAAGTCTTCTATTAAATTGAACATAAACTTTTTTATAAATTCAATTGAACCGATAACTTAGTAATAGTGCATCCTACTACATTAAAAGCTATATTGTTCCATCTGCGTATTAGTTACTTTTAAGCAAAGAAAAAGAGATAGATTAATTGGAGAGAAAATATTAAAACTGTTAGCAGAGGTTTTTGCGAATATAAGCACATATAAATTTAATAAAATTGAATGTAAACAAGAATTTAAGGAAGCCGTTAACTGAATGCCTACGTACATATAAATAAGAATAGTGTTAAGGATTTGTCTTGTGATTTTCAAAATTTCCAGACCGGGTTTGGATACATCATGATTTTTTTGAGAACTCAACAGAATATAATGTTCTGTTGACTTTAGATTTTTTTTAAATTAAAACTTAATTTTGGTCTTGTTAATTGCACAAATGGAATCATGTTTATTTTCATATAATTTTTCATTTCGATCATCTTTTCCATAATCTGGCCTCTTGTCCCGACTTATGATGACTAGATGCATACAAAAAATTTCATGCCATATGTTTAGTGTTCTTAAAAAGGACTTGTTTTAGTTCTTATTAATTGTTTCCAGCAGTAACATAGTTTGTACAACATATTTTTGGTTAACAATAAAAATTGAGGCAGAAGATTTGCTAATATAGATGTAAAAAAGTTTTAAACTCCATGAAGGCAACATTCAGTTTACTTCGACCTTAAAAATAATAAGACACTTCAAATATTATCAACGAATTTGTTGAGTTGTAAAATTCTTTGACACAGAGATAAATAATAAAGAAGTACCAGGGTTGCAAGACATGAAAGAGTACTTACCAACGTGTTGAAGAACGAATGGTTCAAAGCATCCTGTATTCCGATTCTTTCGTTCGGATCTACTACTAGCAACCGTCTGATGAGATCTTTGGGATCTTCTGTAAATGCATTTTAATAAAAAAATATATTTGACTGGGAGAGATGCTATTAGCATTAAGTCCGCCTAATACATTGTAGTGCCAGAGAAACAGATACGAGACAAAGAAGTATTCGTCAAATAGATCATTCATTAGCGGAGGCAATCATTCGATCGATTTAAAAAAAAACATTTAATAGATGACTTAATTTATAGATGACCCGTTAATATCAAATTAAACGTAGGATAGTCTGTAAAATCCCTTTAAAAAAAAAGATATTCTTTGACACCTTTTAATTAAAGAACTCTTTAGAGCGGCAATTTCATAATAATATATATGGATGACGGGTGAATTACCTGATATGTCGACCCACTCGGGGCTTGTGAACGAATACTTCCCCTCCATGATGTTCCGCAGCATCACCATTTGCTTGCGATGCCAGAACGGAGGGCAACCAACTAACCTAGAATACAATTAGTTTCACATCATTTTAACGTGTATTTATCTCCTAATTTATCAATAGATCCAACATGAACCTGTCTGCGTCATGTTTTCGTTACCGCATCGTACTTAGTTTCAAAATTCGAAATTACATCGAGGTCATTGCCTAATGGCGGCATATCACTTGGTTATTCGCAAGAAGCTTATGCTTATAGTTTTCGTTTGTGCGTATTTGTCATGTTAGTCATGTAACTGGCCATGTTAAGTTAGTATACTTGACTAAACATTGATTAGTTCTATTTGACTTTTTGCCAAATAGGACCAATAAAAATCATGTAATAGCTTCTTACTAAAATCCAAGTGAAGGACCACCATAATATGAACATTTGAAACAAAATCATACAAGAAATGACCGACTTATAAATATATTTGAATAGAAAGAAAGAACTGAAACCGACTGCGAGAACCTCGGCTACGGAGTCTCAATAGTTTCGCGTATCATCCTAGGAATGAATCTTTGTTCGGCTGCAAGTTGTGGTTTGTCAAATCTTACGCATTGCCTGAACTCTCCTTTTTTGATCTCCCAACTTATACAGGAAATATTTGTAAGCATTGGACAAAATTTAATATTGTGTTCATTACGGTAAATCAAATTCACTTTATTCTCTCTATTTTTCGCCTATTAACATCGGAGATAAAAGAGATCTCTTTAAATATGTTGCTACTTATGTTATATATACCTACTAAACACGTTGGCTGGTGACTCTGTTCATGTAGATATTTCTATTAAACTAAACATATTTTTGTTTTGTTTATGTTTAGTTTTTACAAAAATTAAAAACTTGTATATTTATAATTTTAATAAGACTAAAAAAATATCATAAAGAAGCGGATTAGTTTAATTCCATATAAATATTTTATTCTTTTATCATATACGCAAACGGATAGCTCAAGGCACCGCATAACAAATATCATAACTTTAGATATTGCTTAGTTTCGATAGTTGTTTCCTAGTCATTGGTGAAATTCATTTTACCTTACTCCTAAGTTTAGTGAAAACGGGCATAAGACTACTAAACAAAGCAAATATCTGTACTGATAATATTTTTCGTGTACTTATAACAAAAAATGTTAAGAACATAATGGGCACATAATGAGAGCATTGATCAATATAACTGCATATATAATTAAAGAGTCGTTACTTAAAACCATATCTCATACAACAGTTACGTAAACATTGCGTATTTCGCTCATATTGTTTATCAATAACCACCAGAAAAAAATATTGCAATCAAATTACTTGAAAACTAATTAAAATTTAGTTAGTTAGATCGGTATTATTAATTAATATGTTTACTATAAAACTCGTCCACATTACATTAGTAAAGTATAATATTATATTATTATTTATATAAATAGCAATTGCTTGTGCACTTACAAGGTAAACATGATGACACCGCACGCCCAACTGAAATCAAACATTACAAATATATACAGGGTTATTGAAAATAATTTAACGATTCCAGCCGGGACCCGGGACTATTTGCTAACCTTTTATTTGTTTCAAGTTAACCTGGTATAAACACGTATATCATATTTAGCAATGCAGTCGTGCCTTCCGAAGCAAGATGATGTTTGAGAAATAAGAGGTTATGTTTGTTCACCTATTCTATGACCGGCCTATACGAAAGTTTTATAACACTCTTAGTGGAGGTGATAAGTTACAGTAACCTATCATTAGGTGTAGCTTTATATAATGCTACGATAAAAAATAAAGATAACCTTTCCGTTTCATGTCGGATCCAGTACTTTCATTAATTTGAAGAAAACGATTTAAAATGAGATGTGTCTATGTACAATCAGGTTAGTACAAAGGGAAAACCTTATCCAATCTATTTTTAGCCTTAACCCGTTAATAGTATAGTTTGAAATTCGCTGCAGGAACCTCCTTTAAGAAGCGTATTATTTATTACGTTTTTAAAGTTAGTTTTTTATCATAAAATATTTTTTCTTATATAATTGATTTAAGACAAATTTATGCGAAGTAGTATAATATTTATTTGATAATTTCAATCAGCTACTCAGTCTAAGTGATAAAACAGAAATTATCTTAGCACGCGCAATTTGTATCACCATTTTGGATAACCCCGTCAAACAAGACGCAGCCTTGTCTCGATGACATTTAAGTTCAGATTACCAAGAATATATAACGGTCAAAAGATTAGAAACATACGTCATTGATGCATTATTGAAGAACGAATTATTTTCTTGTTAAATCTAAAGGTTATCAATTTTTTTTAAATATGAACCATTCATTATATAATCACTGAAACAAAGCGAGATTGCTCTTATTTGATAAAATTTGCATTCACAATGTATAATTGTCATTTATCTTAAAGAAAATTATTTAAAAATGATCTGCTTTATCCGTTTAACCTTTTGCCAATTATAAAATAAACATTACACGATATTACATAGACACATTAATCAGATCTCAATCACAAATAGCTACATGGAATGCAAAAACAACAAAGGTACCAGGTACCATCTAGAGACAATAACCCGGCCGGGCATCAAATCCAGACCTCATAGGACTTTAGAGACCTTAAAACTCACGTGGCCCACCCTCCAACCACTCCGCTATGGAGGTCATCTTTTAACAACAGATTAGCTGTTTTCCCGCTGCTTTACAAGAGTAAATTATAGCCTGTATAGTAAAGCTTCTCGTAGGTAAAATATTTAGCTTCGGTCGGAGATTATTCAGTGCAAACCAACAAATATTAAAATCTTTCATCTTCATAGTATTAGTATGGATAACAATCATCATTATTATAATGATGTGAGTACTCACATATCTACCTCCATTCCGTAGCCGGGCGCGTCGTCGAACATGTTCGCCTTTAGTGTTTCAGGCGCGAGGTAGCCAGGAGTGCCGCACAGTTCTGAGAGTATAAGATTTTTCATTTATTCGGAGTGTTCGATTCACCACTTAGATTCACCCCATGCAGACTAACATATATTTTTTTAAAAGCAGGAAATTAACACCTTAGGCTCCTTGATCCCGCACCCGTACTGAAAAGGACAGGCTTAATTAAGCCCGCTGCGAGTACCTTCCAGGGCCAGAAAGGACCCGGTACTCTTTATTTCTTAATTTTTCTTTTTATATTGTTTATTTCAATTAATAATAATAATTACACAATAAGCAGCAGACTGTATCTATAATAGTAACAAAAAAATTACATAGTAATAACCTCCAAATAATGGTGTCTAATGAAAAAAAAATTAAAACTTCATATAAGCAAAAAACAAGAACTTATACAATTTTAAAAGACATCACAAAATTTTGCTCAGATTAGTTAGCAATAGATTTTTTAATATTGGCTGTGTATGTGATCCTATTAGCCTTTATCTTTTCAATCCGATCTGGCACGCCGACAAACATAATGAAAAACATCTTTGAATATTACAAACAAGGTCTTTTGTAAGAGAAACCAGATGTAACTGGAAACAATTACGTGTAGGATTTCAAAGGAACATAAAGCCACTGCAGCGTGAATTCATTGTGCTTAATGTTAACTGTTGTACGTATACGTGTGTACATAACCTAACCAATGACTGCAGTCGGTAGATTATTGGTATGGTCGGCCAAAATATGGTCTATCATCCTACGGTTGAGGTTAATCTGAAGGTCTAGAAACAAGAAGGTCGATTTCCGCTTGCAATAATATTATGCCTGTTACCCATAGATTTACTAAGATCTGAGCGTGTCTATGATCTAAGGACCATTGCTATTTTTACATGGAGTAGACTGGAGAGCGCATCGGCTGATTCTTGGTACAAACACATCTCACAGATTTTTGTGGTGCGGGGGAGGTTAGTTTCGGCGGTGTTTATTTGCTACTTAAAAATCACCGGATACTCTAGGGTTGCCAAGTTGGTAAAAATATCGATATCGATAAAATAGGCTAATCAGTTCCAATAAATTGATCGAATAATTTATTTATAACAAAATAGAAATAATTAACATACGTACGACATAAATAGTTAAAACGGTCGCTATCAAGAAACAATAATACTTATTATTTCACTAATTATAGAGTAGAAATAAAAATATGGAATAGTTTTGTGGTAAAAATAATTTTTGTCTGAAGCACTAGCCCCCCATAATCCGGACTTTAAATAAAAATCTTTCAACTAACATTGTCAAAATATTATTATGTTGCCAAATTTCATGTCAGTAATTTTAATATCTTTTCAGATGTTATGATTAATGGTAGCTTCTGTAAACATATAATAATAAAACAAAACTTTATAGCTTATGGTATTATATTCAAATTAAACCAATTATATAATATTTTTCAAATCTATATTCGGACTTTGTCGATATATTTTGTTACAATGTGGTTGTACAGCACTATCGAGAAAAAAGAGACGACTACTTATGAGAAATCAATGCACCAGAAAGATACGGGATGGAAGACATCAACGCACGCATTTCAGAAATAATAATAATTTTTTTAGTTGTAATTTATTTTCAAAATAAAGATAGAAAATCACTTAACTGTGAAATGATATTCCATCTCTCGTGTAACTTGAAGTCATAATGCATTTTCCACACCATTAATTAGTGCAACTAAGCATGTTTTAAAACGAGAGAGCGTAACGAACCTATGCTTTATTATACCTTCGACTGACGGAATAATTCGTAAGTGCATTTGAATTAGCGTCCTATTTTCGAAGCGCTTACCCCCGCATGCTCAATACAGTCGACTCCATGTATTTTTATTATAGGTATTTACGTCATACCTTTTTTTCTTTTTTTTTTCGCTGAGAAATGCGTTACGCATACCCGCTACATCCAGCGCGGGCTTCACGGGTTATGTGGGACTCCTCCTGTGGCCCCACCCCCGAAGGGGGCTAGACAAGAAACAGGAGTTTACCCACTAAAACTCAGCGATGTCCCTCGCATGGAAAGGCGATGCACGGGATCGGCCCGGAGGCCATACACCGCGCGGTTTTACGTCATACCTTGTCTCAAGTTTGAATTACCACAGAACTCTTCTTCTTAACTTAAATGGCTACTTTGCGTCACCCACAATTCTGTCAACTTCATTTAGGAGACCATTACACGATTTATATGACACCGGAAAATAACAAGAACTGCCAATTTATATATTTCTTGGGAAATTTGTAAACTTTCGTAGGATTCTAAAGGAGAGATAAAATGTATTATTTTACGATCTTGTTGCTCTCCCGTGACATATGCATTTATTTAACCAAAGAATTTTGAATTACCAATTCTTTCTACATGGATTTACCAAGAACAACACTTTTAAATGTTTCTTATACGTTATTTAAGGAATTATTTTATACAAACATAATGGATACCTCCTTGTCTTAGAATTCAATTTCAACAAAATAGTATGCATTTCAAAATAATGCTCCAAATAACTAATTTAATTATGTTCACAACTGTTGAGGCAAATTAGTTTTCCTTTAGCGAAATTTAATTTTTTAACGAGTAATTAACGTAAAGTAAATTAATTAATGAGTAAAATAAGGCGATAAGAAATAGCCAAGTCAAATCGACAAGGAGTTCTTTGACCGATTTAATCTCAATTATCAGACCAGAACAACTTCAGGTCTCCTAGTAGTACCATCATAAAAACAACAAACGACTTTGACTAGGTCTTTCGTAGAATCTTTATGCTTTAACTGACAGATAATTTGACGCCATTTGGAGTCAGAGGATTATCGGTTGTCTGATAATAGTATGAATTGAAGAAAAGAGTTTATTGAGAATTTATTTTAAGATGTAAACACGGCAATCTTGATAACTGTTTCTACTCATTAAAATAATGTAAAGAACAGTAGGGTATGTATAATAAAATATTTGTAATTTCCTATGTATTTTTTTCTACGATTTGTGTAATAAAACTTAAGCTGCAATGTCCAGTTCCAGGTCACTAGTTATCCATTGGATGGAAAGAGAGGGAAGTTTTTTCTATGACCAAAATTTACTAACAAAAGTCGAACTTCGCATTTCCGATAAATGTTACGATTAAGTATGGGAGAGAGGACAGTCACAAAACCTGCTCTTAAATTCTGTAATAAGGAACAAATTCGTTTACAATGGCTTAGGAATCAAATAACTCAACCACCAATAAGATACGTCTGCTCTATCTTACGTACCAACATTGGGGTAGGGGGAGGTCAAAATTGCCAATCATCTTTATGTAATAATTGTTTTGATTTTAGTTTGAAGCCAAGTGATATGCAACTCGAAAATAGTGGACCTTATTATTAAAAATCACTAATTCAAAAGTGATTAATAAATGAATATCTTTAATTTTTATATATTCATATTTTATACTGATCACTCTATATCAATCAATCAATCAATAACCCTTTTGATAAATTAACTCATTGGTTAGAAATAATATTGCCTCACCGAACAGTCGTTCACCATCCTTGAGCACCTTGGCGAACCCAAAATCTGTTATCTTGACGTTGAGCTGATCATCAAGGAGGATGTTCTCAGGTTTCAGGTCTCTGTGGACTATGTTTTTGCTGTGCACGTGCCGTACGCCTTCCAACACTTGCCTGACAGAATTAAATTTAATAATTGATTATTTCAACGAATCGACAAGTTTTCATCTCTTATGCTATGCCTAATTTTCAAGTAAATAAAAATCATAATCCCTAAAGAGGAACCTCTTTAACTTTATCCAATTTAAAATAGAATTAGCACTCATATTGATGGTATTTAAGAAGCATGTTTAAATTTACAAAATATGTACTTATATTGTTTTCGGTAAGGTCAAGATGCTGTCCTTTGAAATATTACCCATTACTAAATGAGAATAAATGATACACCTTATTTCATTTTTAAGACTGTGAGAAAAACGATCCGAAACGAAGTAGACAACTCAAAACGAATTTTCTTCAAACCTCGCAAATGAATGACAGGACAGGTGACATTGGAATACTGATAATTCGGCTCGTACTGATTTGCGAAGATTTTCATCCGTTCCGTTTCTTTCGCCTTCATTAGCGCGACCGATTCTAATTGATTTGCGTTTAAAACAACTAGGAACACATAAGTTACTAGAAACATAAATACAAAGAGCGGCTTTCAGTTATGCATTTTGATATGCACTTAGTAAATTATAGTTGCGCATTTAGTATAATTTTTTCAAAATCGTATTTCCATTCACATAAAACACAAATTATATAAAATATTCTTGCAGCTAAACGCTAAAATAATTAACCCATAGAATAGGCTCTGAATGTTGTAAACCAATTTTGAAATTTCTTTCACCTACGGGAAACTACATGGGTAATAAAGGCTTTTATTTAGGGGGGCGAAATCATTGTAAAACTGCTAATGCCTATAAAAAGATAACTAAATAAATTACCTTATGTAGTACTTTAACAAAGCATCTAAAGCCACTTTGTATAAAACCAATACATCAACACCGACACTTTCGATTTTTTTAACTTCCGAGTTTTCCGGCGATTCGTCTAAATACGCCATTTCGTATAAAATATAAAGGAAATAAATTCTATGACAATATTTTCCTCTCGAATAAAATACGGTAGAGCGAACGAAGTACTAGGATAACAGCGTTGCACAATAGCTAACAAACGACTGAGCTGTCTGAACGGATGAGAATTCACGCGAAATCAAGAGTTATCACGACGAGACTGGACGTGACGACCTTTTATTAGGGTTTCCAAACGTACTTTATTACAAACTAGCTTTCTTCCAGCGGCTCCGCCCCTGTGGTTTTTTCCCGTTTTTGCAACATTTTTAACAGACTTCAAAAAAGGAAGTTCTCAATTTGACCTGTATGTCGCGATTATCTCGCGTTTGGCTGAAGCGATTTAGACGCGGTTTTCAGAGAAGTATTTTTGTGTTTCCTATTATACAAAAAATATCAAAATTATAAAATAAAAACTTTATTTTTAAATAGGACCGACTTCGACCTTAAAAAAGTGAAATTATTAAGCAAATATTAGCAACTCTACTACACTCTTTAAACGTAGCTGCTGGAATACAAATAGGAACTAGTTTGATAAATCATAGGTTATATTTTTAAACCCCTTTCATTGCTATTTTTTTTTATTGAAATGTTTGTGAGTTTTCTGTAAAAAGTACTTTAAAGAACCACTGATCTGTCATTAACCTATCGAGCATTCTGAAAAAATCACGAAATTCAAGGGTATGGAGGAACAGTTATAGCATTTAATCTAATTAGCTAGAATATAGTTTTTGTATGAAATTGTTGATGCGTATGGACGACGCGAGAGATGTATAATAGGATTGAGCTGCGGCCTCTCGGCAACAGCGTTGTACTCATAACAGAATAATAACAACAAAAAATTTACTCACCAGAATTCGAGTTAGCTTTATTAGATATTTTTATTTTAGCAAACTGCTCGAATTATAATTGTTCACAATCTATTTAATAAACAGCAAATTTAGATACATACATTGCATAAATATTTATAATTGTAACAACCTTGTGCCACATTATGATCTCATAAATAATTTCCAAAGCTGTAATGGATTTGATTGTGTCTATTATGTTTAGTGTTAGCCACTTATATTTGCATTTAAAACAAACTTATAATTTAGAGTTACATTTGTGGTAAGTAAAAAATGAAGTAATTTCCATAATTTTTTTTGCATTTTGTACTGAAGTTTAATATGTTAATATTTATTTACCTCATGATATATCTTGTCTTTTTCTCTGAAAGGGTGACAACAGAAGTGAGGTAGTCAAATAGTTCTCCATTCTTGCACAGTTCAAAGACCAAGAATATGAATGTCTCAGACTCAAACACATCTTGCAGTTCAACTGTAACAAGTCAGAACCCAAAATCAATATTAATATACAATTAATAAATACCAATAATAAAAATAAATGTGGCTCTTTCCAGATAATGTTGTGTCTGTCAAGCTTTAAATGCCTCCTAAGCGGGATCAATGCTATTAATTGTAGAATTTCTTGGATCTCTAAGAATTAGAGTCCACTCTGTCTGATCTACCTTCTAGCAGGATGCTGATTTGAGTCATGCCTGGATAATTTTTTATGGTTACATTAGACACAGCAATTTTTTAATGTTATATCTAAATTATACAGATAATATTGTGTCTGTCAAGTTTTAAATGCCTCCCAAGTGGGATCTATGCTATTAATTGTAGAATTTCTTGGATCCCTAAGAATAATAGGCCATGCTGTCTGATCTACCCTCTAGCAGGATGCTGATTTGAGTCATGCCTGGATAATTTTTTATGGTTACATTTAACACAGCAAATTTTTTAATGTTATATCTAAACTTAAAAACTAATTTTTTAACTCTCTTTTTTTAATTTCTTCACATACATTTGATGCTAGTCCATTAATAAGAACAATTAATACTTCTCACTCTTTCAATAACAACTCACTCACTAATATAAGGGTGTCCAGCCACCATCCTCAGGATATGTATCTCCTGGCGGGTGGCGTCACGCATGGTGTGGGTGTCGACGCCATCTTGTGACTCCTGACTGAGGTCTATTATCTTTGCCGCATACTCTTTACCCGTTTCCTTTTCTATGCACCGTCTAACAGTAGAACTGATACCTCTGTGAAATAAGAAAATAATGTAGATATATTCAAATTTAAACAGCTTTTGGTCACTCATTATTTTGAAAAGAAAGACCTACTACATTCCTATATCAGTCTATTAGAGATGCTTACTAATACTGACAGTCATATGACATAAAATAATATGCAAGCATTAAATTAGTTGCTCTAGTTGAAACAGAATCAAACAATACTAATGTCAACCAAAAACAATTTATTTCCCATACATTCAGTTAACAACATAGAAGTCTAGCCTGATCCAGTCTGCTATAAAAATGTTGACATTTGATTTAGATTTCAAGTAGGCACATAGTCTACCTTGTGTGTTCATAAGTTTTGAGACAAACTTTTTACTAAAAAAATAAAATAAAATGTTACTGGCTGTAATTTTTTTCCGATTTTTAATTTGGAATATTTTTATCGCAAATTCATTTGTTTATATTTTCTCGTGATGGAGGGAACGAAACAATTACGGGGAAATGTCATTTCGGTATTTAAGGCAGGAAAAAATCTGATGCAGATTTTCCGCATGCTGAAAAGTTTTCCTTTAAGCCGTAACGTCGTCTATTGCACAATACAGCGGTACAAAGAGAAATGTTCTCTACTAGATCGCCAAAGGAGTGGTCGGCCATGCTCTGTGAGGAAGCCTGCAAACATCAAAAACATTCCAAGAGCGACTTCACCAAAATCCATGTCGCACTCAGAAGAAACTTACTCTGCAGACTAACAGTGTGCGCATTTCAATGAACAGAATACTGAATTATGATCTTAGGGTAAAGGCCCATGCCCATAGAACAGTTAATTTTTTAAATTGTCTTTCAAGTTACTGCACAAACATTGTCAATTACTGCTAGGGAGACATGATGCCAGGAAGATACTCTTCACCGACGAGAAAATTTTTACTGTCAAAGAAAAGTTGAACCAACAAAACAAAAAGTGTATGCTGAAAGTAGTTAGGATCCCGCTCCCAGCTTCTGCATGGAATGTCTCGTGCACTCATCATTTGGCTAGTGTGATGGTATGGTGGTAAGTTTCATATGAAGGTGAAAGCCAAGAATTACCAGTGACATTTCAAAGCCCATGGTGAAACCCCTATCTGATATAGCCTTCATAGTGGCGGACGAGTTGCCCTCCTCCAGCCCTGACCACAACCCGCTGGATTATTTCTTGTAAACTAAATAAATGGCGAAAGTGCTTGATTTGAATTTTTCCCAAATACTGATTATTATAATAGGGATGATGACTAGGTAAAAAAAATGCAATTCTATTTAGTCCATCAGTCAGATAATAGAAAAATATTAGATACATATTTTTTTTTACTTCAATTTAACAAGAAATAGCTTAGATAACAGGCATTAAAGTTGAGGAGTGGGGGCTCGCTACGTCACAGTTGAGTAGAAAACGTACTCTAACGTGACGTCATGCGAAATTTCAACTCAATGTAACGCCATAATTTTATGATTACAAATAAAATAAAAAAATATGTGTTTAATATTTTTTAACACTCTAGCTGACGGACAAACAAACAAAAATTAGTCATCATCCCTATTATCATTAATAATCAGTAGAAACAAATAAAGAGAATATTCATTCATTAATTGAGGATTTTGACTTTTGTAATTAATAAATATTAGGGCAGAATATTTTGACAGAATGAATATTTAATGTAATAACAAAACAGTAACTTTTTAAATATTTTATCTATTATTGTAATTATATATGCATTTCATCATCAATTTTAATTAGCAAACACTATATTAATTGACGACTAAAATTTATCAAAACATTTAGTGAATGTATTGTTAAATAGTTTATCAAAATCTACATCTAATTTAGCAAAACCACTGAAATGTCTTTGAAATTTAGCGGATAGTAAAAGAGTTTAAAATAAATAAACAAATGTGGCTTGTCTGAAAACAATTAAGTAAGAGATGATTTCTCAAGGTCATAGAAGACTTACAACAAAAACTTATGCGTACTTATATACGCTTGTCTAATTGTTCCATTTCTAAAATTGGCACCAATACAACACACGGAGTCACGATTCTTTCTAGTGATGGAGATAATTTTAATGAATCATTCGTATCCCACCTGCCTATGATTTCCTTAGGCTCATACTTCGCGTAGAACTCCTTTGCTGCATCCTTATCGGGCAAATTATCGTCATCTTCCTCCTTCGCCATGCCACTCACGATTGAAGCTGTTATGTTCTTAGATAAAACAATTTCACGTAATTAACCCCGCATACAATGACGAAAGGTTATTGTTGTACTCTCGACAAAACTACTTAATACTGTAGATTCATAATAGACAGTTATTCAAAACACACAACACATGTAAAGATCAAATTAGAATATTAAAAATGTTCAACAATTCGAGTAAATTATAACAAATTCAACAAATTAATAATAAAATTGAGTTAATTCCTACAACGAGAGCGAGACGAGGACGGGTAAATGACAGTTGACATTGACAGATAGGAATAAAAATTGTTGTTGTTAATTAAAGGCAATGGGATTAAGCTCGAAAAATTTAATCATGGTTAATCAATACTACTGATTGCCAATGGATGCATGCAACATGTACTCGTACTTGAGGGACGGTATGGCATTAGAAACAGATTAGGTTCGCCCTAATTATTTGAATCTTTAAAGTGCAGTGCCTCAAAGAAATACTTTTGTTCTTTGAACGTGAGTCCGTGTTTACAGTAGAATAAAAATTTTGTTTGTTATTGGCAATGTACTATTTACAATTCTTGATTAATACACTCTTTAATCTTTATTAGTCTTCTATTTCGTAGTGATTTTAGTTTGGATATCGTTCCAACGTTTTTCGTATAGCACCAAGTTCCAGTGAACGGTGGTTACAGTTACATAGCGCAGTGGGGTCGGGGTTGAGAGAGGGGGGGCCCTTTGCAGCAAAAGTATAAATTCGGACCGAATGAAAAGAACACGGATTTTTCTTTACTTATTCTATGACGAATTCTCTTTCTTTAATATCTATAATCCAAAATAATGGTGACAGTTCTTGCTCAAAATTCTTTAAAATTTATATATATAATGTTTAGTATAATAATCCAAAATAGGTACCTATGAAATACCTAAGTAAGAGGGGCAGCAATATTGTCTTCCGCTCTGGCGGCAAACACCCACGCTACGCCACTGGGTAGTTACTCTATGTTCCAGTGTTTTTCCGAGGGCATCAACATTCATCGAGGCGGCGTTATTGCTTGCGGCTGCATATATCGCTTATACACAAATCCTCTACGTACAAACTTCAAACTAGCTGTGGGTGATATCGGATTTTCACAATATCGATTCTAAACTACACATCGATATTCAATATCAGAATTTTTAAACTATGTTATTTTTTTGAAACTATATGTGTGAAACGATCAGTATTCGGTAATCGTGAATACAATTGCAAACAAGTAGCAAAACCACGAATGTCAAATTAAACTGGATTGTGCAGTGTTTCATTAAAAACGGGCAGAGTGAGAGAGTAAATTAGTAACTCTTCATCTCTGTCTTAGTAGTTTTGTAGGATGTCCACGCGTTTTCTTATTTGAACATTTACAGATAGAACTTTATAATTTTTTACAGATATTATGAATGATGATATTAGAAATTTAACCGATAAATTAGTTTTTATTTATCGGTAAAGATATTTATTTTGTAGGAAATAAAACAAGTACATAAATGTTATCATAATCATCTTTAATATATAAATCAATTAAAAGAATAGAAATGTTTTTTTTTTCCTATTAATTGTATTAGAATACAACGGATTATATTGTCACTTTGTCTGGTATTATTGTCCTCCATTTTTCAGCCTTTGGGATCCTAGAAACATAAGAGCAATTTTGTCATGGTCAGCATAATAAAATTATTACTTTATAAATATTTATTCAAACTAATGTGTAGGCCATTCAGATATTTTCCAAAACATAAATAGGCTAGTTTTTGTTTTTCATTTTCCAAATAACTATGTACCTACCGTGAAAAAATTCAAACTTCTTGACAATTAATGATATTCATTTCGCAGTGCATAACTTATTAATAAACATTTTTACTGTAATGTTATTCAAGTAAATTTTACAGAGATTAACACGATGAATGGCGGGTAGCGTAAGTAAAACTAATAAGTGTTTACAATATAAACGTATGAACATTAATTTAAATTAAAGCCCCTTTGATATGGTTTTGTTTCTTGTTCGTAGACACCATATTTCATCACTGTTTAATAAATAAGGAAAATAACTTACCTGTGAAATGTGAGTCACAACCGTGATACTATTCATTTTTGCAATCAGCCAAGAAAAACAATACACCATTTTGATGTAAATAATCGAATTAGTAAGTCAAAACGCAAATAAATATCAAACTTTAACATTGTTTATGTTGTCACATCGAGTGGCCATATTAATTTATAATATTGCCACTTAAATCTAACGAAAAACTACTGACACGACATCGGTTTACATTATAATTTTAATTAATTCACACTTTTACTTAAAAACATATCAATTATGTCTATTCAATATATTTACTAATAGATAATAATTAAAATTAGAGTTTGGCAAGCGAAACGTGACACCACCTATTTTTCCGTTTTCATATGGCAACAACATAGAACTGTCAGTTTGACACTACGTTAGACAATTCAAGAATATTGAATTTTGTTGTTTTTGCGAATTTGAACTTGTGTTTTTGGTTAAAAATTATGTCGAAGCCGATAAAAAGTTCATCGAGGAAACTTCTTTCCATCATGATTGACAAGTTTACTGAAGTGAAAACTGAATTAAATAAAAATTTCATGGAGAAATTACAACGATTAGATAAAGTTGTATCTTTTTTAGGTTAGTTTTGTATTATAATTTTGATACTTTCGTTTTAATTTTCTGTAATTAACTAAACAGATATTTTTTATAAAATATTGCTCTATTTCAGATAACTGTGATGGTGATATTCAACCAATAATGGAGGAGATAAATGCAATAAAAACTTTAGAAAAACAAGAAATGCTGAATTCGGAAACGCAGTACTTACAAAAAATTTCTTCAATGACAGGTCTCTTTTCTTGTTTTGATTTAAGATAGATTGATAGTATTCCTATAATATTTACATAGGTTTTTTATGATGTATTGGTTTTTATTGTTGACATCCAATGATGTCATAAGAATGTTTTGTTTAACAAGGAAATTCACAGAATTCATGAAACTAATCAAACCATGTAATTGTTATACATGCTAAATATGCACATAAACTTAACTAAATTAAACATAAATTGCATTCATAGTTGAATAGGTATTTAAATTATTTTGATGTATGTGTCTATCATTATTTGCTTTTAAATACATTTAACATATCTTTGTTTCAAAGTGTTTAATCTTTTATAGATGTAAGTATAAGGACACTAAGAAGGATAAAAAATGAAGCATTAATTAATAAAGGAAAATGGGACACTCCTGGGAAAAAACGACCTCATCAACCAACAGTGTCTGCTTTAGATAATTTTGATTTAAGTGCAATTCGGAATAAAGTAAATGAATTTTACTGTGTGAAAAAAATTGTTCCAACATTAAGAAGCCTTCACAATGAATTAAAAGATGCAATAGGATTCAGTGGTAGCTGTGAGACTTTACGAAAAATTATGCTTAAGAATGGATTTTCTTTTAAAAGCAATGAAAATGAACGTTCTATGCTTATAGAAAAATACCAGATTTCTGCATGGAGGCACAAGTATTTGAGAGAAATAAATATAAAACGAAACGAAGGAAAGCAAATTGTGTACCTTGATGAAACTTATGTACATCAGAATTATAAAGTTAAAAAGTCTTGGCAAGGACCTTCAACAACTGGTGTCACTACAAAGATATCCTCTGGAAAACGGCATATTGTTGTGCATGCTGGATCTGAGGAAGGTTTTGTGCCTGGTGCATTATTAGTGTTCAGTAGTAAATCCAAATCTGCTGATTATCATGATGATATGAACTCATCGAACTTTATGAAATGGGTCAGAGAAAAATTAATACCAAATTTAAGTAAGCCCAGTGTAATTGTTATGGATAATGCCAGCTACCATATAAAACAAATCAATAAACCGCCTATAATGTCTAATACCAAAGCAGATATCCGTAAATGGCTTGTAAATAATGGAATACATTTTGAGGAATATCAGACAAAGGCAGAGTTAATGTGTTTGGTTAATGATAAGAAAACATTGCCTGTATATGAAGCTGAAGAGATTTTAAAAGAACATAATCATGAACTTTTATTGCTGCCACCGTATCATTGTGACTTAAACCCAATAGAGATGGTTTGGAGTCAAGCAAAAAGAAAAATTGCAAGCAGAAACATTGGAATACCAGGAAAGGAAATGGAAAACTTAATAATAGAGTGTTTTAACTTAATTACCCCTAGTGACTGGAAGAAATACACTGATCATGTTTTAAATGTCGAAAATGATTACAAATTAAAAGATGGCATTGTTGAAAACGAACTTGAAAAATTTATTATATCTGTTGGTGCAGACAGTAGTGAAGAGAGTGACTCTGATGATTCCTTGTCATTGTTATCAGGTGTAGAATATTTAGAAACAGATTTTGACTATGAATCAGACTAAAGTATTTTTAGTCTGATTCATAGTCAAAATCTTATCTTAAATTTTCTATTGTGATTAACATGATGATTTTGTGACACCTGTATTATGTAATTTATCCATGGCACTTAATTGTAACAAAAATAAATGTTTTTTTTATTGTAATCTGGTGTTTATATTGACTAATTTAATTTGATAGATAGTGGTTCTGGATCAGAGCAAAAGGTTGTGATGAAAATCCCTTAGGAGACATGTATGTGTTATGAACACATTATAAATATAAGGGCCAGAAATCAAAATTGGCTAACATCACATTTATTAAAAAAATGTGGCCAGAGTCGCCCATATTCATTACAAAAAAACAAAGAAGTCGTTGCAAAAAACACCCTTTTAATTAATGACAAATATGAATTTTTAATATTATAAGTGCTGTTAGCCAATAGGTATAACGAATGGGTTAAAAAAAAGATTCGATTTAGTCCGTCAGTCAGATAATAGAAAAATATTGGATACGTATTTTTTTTCGCTTTAATTTAACAACAAATGGCTTAAGAGGTACTATGCGACGACTTCAAATATGCTTTGCAACAATGTTACTTTAATACAGTTTATCGATACGAAATCAAGTGTCAAAATGGAGTCCAGTGGAGAATGCCGATATTGACATTTCGAAATTGCTCATCATTGATAGAGAATACGAAATAGTGATTTTGACACAATCAAAGTGTCTATTTTTTACGGTGATGACGATTCTTGGTTGTCAGTTGAGTTAGTGAATAGGCCTACTGATATGCTGTTAACTGTACAATTAAGAACAGTCACGCTTTAGTCAAATGTTCCAAAACAAATAATTTTAATTGA